CTTACTTACACATCCACATTGTTCTCCATCATTCACACTACTACGGGTTAGGATATTGTTAGCTCTCAGGAACCCAGTGTGTGCATGTGTTGGCATACTATTCAACCAATGGCTTCTGAATTTACTTATCATTTGGAAACTTAAAAATAATAAATAAAGGGGTGTGCAACAATACCTCATATAACTTTTATATACTGAGCTAAATCTATCAATGTATGACTTGAAGTGAACCTTGAGCAAAGTCACTTAAACTTGTTGCTTGAATAATACTGCCTTGTATAATCCTGCTTCCAAAGTGGTAACTTATTCATTCCGGAGGGCCAGTTCTTCCGAGATGTCAACCCTGTTTACTGTGTTCATGTCCTTGTCTGAGGCTGGATTGTCACCTACCCCACTGCCAGGGCCACAGACGTCATGGGTGCTCTTCACTGTCCTCAGTAACGCCAGTGCACTGTAGCAGCAATCATGGTTTGGGCTGAGATGCTGGGATGAGAAATGCTCGAGTTATGCAACTCATGGACTGGATTGTGGGGGTGATATTGGGGATCTGTTTCATAGCAGTGCCTTAGTGTGAGCTCATAGCTCACACAGCTTAATAAACACTGAGGCGTAGGTCTGCCACTGCAATGTACATTAATACAACAATAACTGCAGTGCTACAGGCATATGAGGATGCTCAGAGACCAGCTAGCATTTCATCATGGCCTTCCTGCCCACATAAATGGAAAAAAAAAAAACGGAAGGTAACGTTCTTGCTGTACAATGTAAGCACTGCTTTAGGGTTTTTCTAAACTCAGCACCACATTTTCTGCATGTATAGATCGACCAGTCCCCAGCAGCCGTCTTCATTTTTGCATAAGGCCCCTGGATAGAGCTGGATTAATGATTAATGTGCTACTGGATGGCAAGAACGAGTCAACTTGAGAAATGGGAAGGAACCGCAGCATCAGTCACCACACCCACCACCCTGACAGACGCAGCCAGGCTGTCTTATGTTAGGTTAAACTGGTTGTTCTCTGGAAGGGACAGTTATATTCCTGTTCACATAGGGTGCTAATAATTACAAAGTGTGATAGGTTTGATAAAGACTGATGTTTATGCAGAGCTGAAAATGTAAGTCATCATCATAAATTAGTGCAAATTTTGTGTGCTTGAAGTGCATCTTGTCCTCCATTTCACACAACCTCCCATCTAACGTCTCATTGCCTTTCCTCCGATGCCTTTGTACTGGTGATGGGAACAAAGCACCAGAGCTTTTGACCGAGACAAACGACTGCTGCTGTGCTAATACCCCAGCTGAAGGTTGTGCGGTCCACTTTCTTTGCAGATGTCACCCTACATAGCTGGGTCATAAGTAGCCCAATTTCCTCACAATACGTTAAAGTCTTTGTAGTGTTTGACGAGATTAAGGGGCTGAGCTCTTGTTTCTTTTGTATAGTTTAGAGTCCTTTTGTGGTTTGCTTTTGACGGCTGGGGAATGACGTCTGACAGCTGCTATAGCAAAGGTCACTAACAGGCGGACTGTGGTCCGGGTCCGGACCCGGAAGTTGTCCTATACGGATCCAGACCGATAGCCAAAACATTATTATTTAAAACCTGACGCTTCTATTTTAACCGGCACAGCTTTTGTGGTCTTTTCGGTAGTGGTTTAGCAGTAAAACCGCTGTTTCCCACGCCAATGAACGTCAAACACCTTTGACCGCCAAGCAAGACGTAGTTCGTCTCATGCAGCCCTCTGTCTGCGCTAATGTGCCATTAGTGTTAATAGCAGCAGCGAAGTTAAAACCCACAACCAAAAAGCCGTAATGTTCCTAACGGAGTGACTGGTCTGTCCTGAAATCATACAGCTGAAAAGTTTTTAAATACAGTATGTATTATATAGCATGTTGGATAAATAGACGTAGTTTATTGTTGATTTCATGTTCATTGAAGTTTCTGCTTTTTAACATATGTATAAAATAATGTTATCTGTTATATAAATAAACTCAGGTGAAACAAAAAATGTACGTTTTCATGGCTGCCAAATCTCAAGCATCTGGCATGACACTCACGCTGGAAATCTCACGGCAAATCTATATTATTCCATTATAAAACCTAAAATTAGCTACGTCAAATGTGTATTTACATGGTTAAATACAAAAGCAGACTATTTACAAGGTAAGAACTGTTACATGTGTGTGCAGACATCTCGAACTGAAAATCTCACTCCAGCCAGCTGGCCGAAGTTCTATGTCACGTGACAATATTGTCAAAACGTTTTTGAATTGTACTAAATTAATTTGATTTGACAGTCAGGTACTGATTAAATGCAATGTTGATGCAACTAATAGGCTACTTAAATATATATCACACTAAATAGTTAGACATTATGATATTCCGTACCTTTGCTTCAAGAAATTTTCTCTAACTGGACCTCTTTAAATTTTAGTTGAATACCCCTGTGCTATAGGTTATAAAAATGGTGATGGTGTATGAGGATTTTAGCCTCATCACACCGTATGTCCATATCTTTCCCGACTGAGCGAGTAAGTGGCCTGTTTTGGGTGATTTGAGGAAGTGGAGTCAAGGAAAACTGCCTGCTGAGCTGAGAGGGTCAGATCATCTGAACTTGAAAGAACAGAACCCTCTTGTGTGATGGGCATCACCCTGTGATTTACCAGAACAACTTAGTGAGAAGGTGGATTCTGAATATACAAAACATTTTCCCCTTTGCTTTTGCTAACAGCTTGTAGAACACAACTACTCAGAACCATTTCTTAAACTAAAAACACTTGTCACCTATATAGTATTTTTTGGTATAGGCAGAGGTAGCTAAAACATTGCAAACGACAAGTTTAATATGTCAGTGCCAGGGATGATATTTGTGTGATGCTTTACTGGACCTGAGATCAGAGGTGAGTAATTCAGGTCCAGAGAGTAAAAGTCCAGATCGGGATTTTGTTTCAACCAAAAAGGTTGAGTACTCTGTGACTGTGACTCTTTATGCTCAACTGGTTTGTTTGAAACAAATTCTTGGTTTGGACCTGAATTACCCAACTCTGTCTGAGATGCTCCGCAAATCTTATTGTACCATCTCGGTGACCTAAAAAGCAAGCTGAAGCGGATTGCCTGTGCGAGAATATGACAAATTTGGCTGAGACAGACCATGTTCGAGCATTTGTGTAAGAATTCTTAAGCTCTAACTTATGGGCAGCTGGGTTTACATTGGCAAAAGTGCCTGGTAACTCAAACATTCAGCATGTTATTACAACTACTCCTCGTTTAGCGACCATTCACAAATACAACAATAATAAAAAAATAATAATTTTCCAGCCAATGCGTGCATTTGTAACCAAGTTTCATATGCCTTACAATAACATACACCATAGTGAAAAGTCTTTGAAGTAAAATGTGCAAAATATTGTTAAAAATGTTCACGTGATGAAGGATAGAAGAAATCTGAATATGGAAGGCTAAAGTCGCATTCACGCTATCGTGATTTTCTCTTAGTGACTCTTTTGCTTAACCTCCTAGTCATTGGAATGGGTCACTAAATGAGGAGTGGTTGTAGTTTGCTGTATAGAGGCTGAGATTCGGAAAGGAGCCATGACACATTGTTGTTTGTAATGTATGGACATAGGTTTGATATCCAAATGCCTGTTGTGATGCTAATTTAGCTTTAGGGATGGCTTTTTTTGTTGTGTAAAGATAATGGATTTGTAAGTAACTTTAAATGTGTTCAGCATCACCGAGTGGCCGGCGCTCGGAAGCATTCCAGGTTGAGGTCGTGTGTAAGTAAGCAGCAATTACAGATGGACTGCCAAGGCGGAATGGAAGGCTAAGTGTGGAGCTCGTTAATCCTCCCGCTGCTGAATCCGAGTGTAAATGCCTCGCCCTCCATCTCAGCTCTGACAGGAGTTGGGCCGGCGACAAACAGCACTTTCGCTCCAGTGTGCAGTGGAAATTAGATTTCCCCAGTTGCTTGAGCCTGGGCCAATTAAGCTGTAATGATCCCCGTCAGGATGCAGGGGGTGGGGGAGACATGGCTTGTTAGGGACCTTTCTCAGCAGCATGGCCGGACACCACATGGAGCTGATCACAGGGGTGTGGCTCTGCTGCCTTCCTCTTGGGGAGTGTATCTGTCTGTGCTTTAGGCTTAGGGACAGCTGAACGAGACTTGTAAGGTCATTCTAACCTCACTTGTGTCTAGAGGCTTTTCCCCCAGTGCAACACAAAGGTTTAGTCTGTCATTTTTGGGAAGGCAGGTAAGACCGTAAAATCCTGTCGACGCTGCTGATCCAGGACTTTTTCCACTCCTGTTATGTCCTTTTAATGAACCTTAATGCCATTATAACGCTTGAAGTTGTGACTAACTCAACAGTATTTTGAATGAAAAAGAAAATGCAAGTTTTTTTAAAAGATTAAGTGAAATTGTGGGAGGACGAACTGTAATGTGTGTGAGCAATGCAACAGACGATAGCAGAGATCTATGCACCGCGGCTGTAACTCTTCCCCATTTTCTCCGCTGGGTACATTTCTCAGAAACTATGAGAGCCTCAAATTACAATGACCCCAACTCCCCCACACTATCCACACTGTTTTGCATATCCTGAAGGCCTCAAAAGGACTTCACTTCTAATGTACCCTAGATATAGACCCATCCCAGGGATTCTGTTTGTTCAGATGGAGATGCGGGACCTCAGTACCACATTGCTGTCTCTGCATTTATTGCCACATAGTTAATTTTAATTGCCATGTCACCCAATATGCTACATGTGTGTCTGTATTGCATTCAGTAGCGATGTGGTGTCAAAATGCCCGCAGGTGTCAAATTACATAATCATTATTATAAGAATCATTTCTTGCAGTCCACATAAATGATATTTTTTGAGACTGCCTCATTGATCTGTGTGATTCTTGTAACTTCATTGGTTTGAAAAATATCATGTCGGAGCAGAATCGTATGTCATTTCAAGGGCACTAAATAGTCACCTCTCTACTTTTGTGTTCTCTGCCCGCAGGTGTCTGGAGGTGTGATCCAGCCCCAGGACATCAGAGAGGGGGGATGGCAGCCTGTCTGAGGTTAGACTGGCTCGGCCTAGGCCTGATACTAACAATGGTAGCCCCCTCCCTGTGCCAGGGCTGCCCACAGCGCTGCGAGTGTGTGCCGCAACTCCGATCAGTGGCATGCCCTCATAAGAGTCTGACGTCCATCCCTGAGGGCATCCCCAATGAGACACGGTTGCTCGACCTGAGTCAGAATCGCCTCCGCTGGATTGAGCATGGTGATCTGGACCCCTACTCGCAGCTGGAGGAGGTGGACCTGAGTGACAACATCATCAGCGTGCTGGAGCCTAATGCTTTTTCCAGCCTGCGTGACCTTCGTGTGCTACAGCTGCGTGGCAACCAGCTCAAGCTGGTACCTATGGGTGCATTTTCTCGGTTAGCTAACTTGACCACACTGGACCTGAGCGAGAACAAGATAGTCATCTTGCTGGACTTCACCTTCCAGGATCTATGCAGTCTGCGTCACCTGGAGGTGGGGGACAATGACTTGGTGTACATCTCCAACAAAGCCTTCATAGGTTTACTGGGGCTGCAGGAGCTCACCATTGAGAGGTGCAATCTGACCTCTATCTCTGGCCAGTCCTTGTCCTACTTGCGTAACCTGGTCACCTTGCGGTTGCGGCATCTCAGCATCCCTACCCTGGAGGACCAGAACTTCCGCAAACTGGCCAGCCTGCGGGGGCTGGAGATTGACCACTGGTCCTTTCTGGAGTACATATCTCCTTTGAGCTTCCAGGGCCTCAACCTGTCCTGGCTATCCATCACATACACAAACATCACCTCGGTTCCTTCTGCCTCCTTCCGCAACCTGGCCCACCTCACGAGCCTCAACCTCTCGTACAACTCCATCTCCATGCTGGGACCCTGGGCTTTCCGGGACCTGGTGCGTCTGAAAGAGCTCCACCTGGTCAGCACCAACCTAGTGTCTGTAGAGCTCAATGCCCTAAGTGGCCTGAGGCAACTCCGCATGCTTAACTTATCAGGCAACGAGCTCCTCACACTGGAGGAAGGTGCCTTCCATTCCGTCAACAGCCTGGAGACACTGCGTGTGGACAAAAATCCATTAGCCTGTGACTGCCGCCTGCTGTGGATCCTGCAGCGTCGCAAGACGATCAACTTTGACGGCCAGGCTCCTGTGTGTGCCAGTCCTGCGGAGGTGCAGGGGAAGGCCTTCAGCGCATTCTCAGACTCTGCGCTATTCGACCGCTTCACCTGCCAGAAGCCCAAGATCCGCAACCGCAAAATGCAGCAGGTAACGACGCGAGAGGGCCAGCCCGTGTCCTTCCTGTGCCGGGCCGAGGGGGACCCGGCACCGGCCATCTTTTGGATCTCCCCGCAGAGGCGCAGGATCACATCTAGGAGCAGCGGACGTATCACGGTGCTGCCAGGCGGGACGCTGGAAATCCGCTACGCCCAGCTCACTGACAGCGGCACCTACATTTGCATAGCCAGCAATGCGGGCGGAAACGACACGTACTTCGCCACACTCACTGTGAAGGGGCTGCCGCTGGACGCCGTCGCCATGGCCAACCGCAGCTACTATGCCGGCGACCTCAACGATACTAACCAAAACGACACGCGCGTCTTCCTTAAGTTTACACTGGACCTCAAAACCATCCTGGTGTCCACGGCCATGGGCTGCATCACCTTCCTGGGTGTGGTGCTCTTCTGCTTCCTTCTGCTCTTCGTGTGGAGCCGTGGACGCGGGCAGCACAAGAACCACTTCTCTGTTGAGTACTCCTTCCGCAAAGCAGACGGTCCCTCTGCAGGTGGGGGCCAAGGAGGGGCACGCAAGTTCAACATGAAGATGATCTGAAGCAATACGATGATGTTCCGACTCCGCCAGGAGCCCCGAGGGCCTCTGGAGCCGCCATGCACGGCTCTGACTTGCAGAAGCCAATGTAAACACAAGGGTGCTCGGCTTTGTGGGTCGTGTCAGTCGATTTTGTCGCTGACGGTTCCGGAAACTCGTTATTTCGCCGTGCCTCTGATTTTCGTGGGCAGCTTGAAGTGCAGACAGGTTTTTGTGTAATTAGCCACTTTTCATAACCAAACTATGACTATTATTTATGGTTTATCTAAGAGACGTTTATTGCTATTTTGTTGTGTCTTGCTCCCTCAAACCCTTTCAGATATTGAAGTCATATATGTTCAGTAGTTCTTTGATTAAATGAAAGAAAGCACACTTGTCAGTCCTTTGAGGCATGGGTAGTAAGGGTGAGCACTGTTGCTCCGTTTGTTTTTATCTTTCCCTTCTGAAGGATTTTACTGTTGACAATTTTAAGGCAATAGAAGCTCTCTCTCTTGTATAATATCTGGCCACTGGCTGAACCCTTTCAATACCCTTCTACTTCGTGTCATATTGGTTTGCCAAGATTCATTCGAAACAATAAAGTTATTTCTCAGCACTGCAATTATGTAAATGATTGTGAGAGCAGCTTCGTCTCAGACACCCCAGATGGGATCGAGGGAGCCTGAAGCTCATGCTCTTGTTGACAGTAACAGTATGTGACGAGTCCACAGCTCTGCAAAGCCCCATCACATTCACACTGCGCTGCCTCTGTAGGCTAACCTCACAGGGCTACGTCTTCAGAATCCCCTTTGAACCTCTACATATTTTTTAGCAGCCAAAGATATACATGTATCATTGCACGTGAACGCACAATGGGTAAAATATCTTATTGAACCCAGTCGAATTATGATGGAATAGAGTTTATTTCCATGCAGGTTAGGCAAACAGATAGATTATAGATGAGATGGTGTTGGTTATACTGTATGTAATACAGCCAGGTTAATGTCTGCAATCTCACCGGTGAATTGAAATGGCTTTGCTGTACTTCATGCATAGCTTAGGCATCAATGGACATGAGACCCTCCATAATGGATGTAAGCTAAGCACCAACATCAGCACTGAAGAAGCAATGCATTCAGGTTCATAAATGCTTATGTGCTCCACCAAACCTACCAGCTAACACCAAGCATTTGATTATGCAGGGAAAAGCTCTTAATAACTGGTAATCTCCTTTTTCCAGATAGACTACATAAACAGACTACAGTGCATTTTCGGATGCTTTTAGTATGGTAATGTTATTTTCTGTTTGTCCCTTTTTAGATAGAATATGATGTTACCTAATGCAATTATTTTGCTTATCTGTACTAAATTGCTTCTGTAATTGTATAGAAAATTACTTGAACAGAGAAAAATAAAACAACCAGCAGTAAAATGTGTGCCATCTGCAGACATACGAACTAGACCGTACGGAGTGACTCTGAAACTACACAGTGTACGTAATTTAACACTTTGCAGTATGGAAAGTACGAGTACTAACCCTACCAAACCGTGACCTGAGGGAGTCACCGAAATCCTATACTTATGAGCATAATATTTTATCACAGGAAAAAGTCACATAACATCACATAAGCAATATGGGATGATTTTCAGATTCAGTAGATGCTCCTCTACTGTTGAAGAACGTTATCAAGATATAGAATGAGCAGCCACAGAATAGTCCATGAGTCCCTAAAAGGTCCCAAAAACACTCTGCAAACCAAACAGCATGAAATTGAACTCAAACAGACCAAATAGCACAAAGAATGTGGTTTGATGGTGAACTAAATTTGTCACTGGTGCCTGGTTGTAATTAGTGAAATCACTGGTGGAGAACCACTTAGACTGTAAAACCGTGTCCAATGATCTTATATTTCACAAGCATGATAGTCACATATCTCCTATCCATTGCAATCTAGGTATCCCAAAAACTGCTTGAAATCTTTCTCAAGAACATAATATTATTTATGTTCTCATGAGAACAAGGTTGTCATGAGAACTATAATGCCATGCAGTGGAATTTGGTTAGCCTAGAGTATTAAATTGTGTCATGACAAAAAAGCCTCACACTCACCGAAGGCAGCCCTTTGAGTCTGAATTTATGTGACATTACCTTTAAGGGTGTGGATGTAGCTTCCTCTGATAGAAGTTCCAGAACCTCAAAATAATACCACTGACATGCTTCATTGTCATATTACAGCTCACATTTATCACTGAGACACACACACTAGCCATTTAGAACTGTGTGAGGAATGACTAAGCCAGGAATCAGTATTGTACTACCTTTTGGAACCTGGCGCTGGAGTTTTAGGATGTAGTTTGCCCTAATATTATCTAATCCTATCTGGATGCTGACTCCAGTTGATCTCTCTGTAATAGGAAAGCAATGGTCAGCCATGGCACTAAAGAACCAGAAGATCCTTATAACCACCACAACAAGTGATGTAGGAGTAAAGGTCTCAGAGTTTACATGTGCAGGAACCACTAAAATACCCTGGCTGGAATTGAACTTCCCCAAAACCTTCATGTACCCTTTGAGATAACTCACATATGGAAATCCCAAGCCTTTGGCAGGCTGTGACTGGAACCGCCCGCACAAACCCAAAGATAGTGAGAGCATAAGCAGATAAAAACTTTCTCATTGTGTGCTTGATTTCTGAGAGCTCTTGCACCACCTGCTAAAAAGCACACAACTTTCTTTGGAAACCAATAGGTGAAAACGAGCTATGCACAAAACCTTCAATGAAACTGGATTTTACTGACTTTGCAGTACCTGAAGCCAATAGTTAACACCTTAGTCAGACTTGAATTCTATCACCTATATCATCTAAGAGAAATTCAAGATCCCCCGTTCATCCACCTTTGAATAGGGGGGGCCCACGTCGGGCTTACTCAGATTCACAAAGAAATCTATAAATGCATGGCACTGCACCCCCATAGCATTGCAACTATTTATACACCAACTGCACGTGGTGCTGCTCTATTCTATTGAGAGGGATCAGTGTGCAATGGGACAGGCAGCACGTTTTCCATCTTTGGAAAAAAAGCTTAAGGCCTTTTTTAACAATCCATCTGTAACTTAGTGCACATTGTGGGAAACCACTCACAGATTTGTTCAACAGCTGCACTTCATTTTGCCAGAAATAAATATATATTTTTAAATTATCAGCCGTCTGCTTCTACACGTCAACCAGTAATTATGGCAGCTGTAATTGTTTTCCTAGGGGTACTGTAGATTACATAAAGTAACATTAAAGCAGTCATTTTTTTGTCCCCTGTACCTTATGTATACTGTTTTTTGTACTGATTCCCTGATTACAAATTGATTACAAAACTGATTACAAAACTACAAATCGATACAATAGCAATCCTCCCACTGCTCCAATTCCAAATGTAAACTACTGTAAAAGTCTGCCATGGATATAGTCCATCATTCCCTTTACATTCTTCCCACATATGTATTATATGGACAAAAATATTGGGCCGTCAGGAGACTTAATGAAATCCAGAGGTATCAATATGGAGTTGGTCTACCCTTTGAAGCTGTAACAACTGCCACTTTCCTGAGATGGCTTTGCAGGAGATTTTGGAGGGTGTCTGTGGGAATCTGCCCATTCATCCTGAAGAGCATTTGTGTGGTCAAACACTGATGCTGGATGTGAAGGCATAGCTCTCAATCTCTGTTCTAGTTCATCCCAAAGGTGCTCAGTGGGGTTGAGGTCAGGGCTCTGTGCAGGCCAGTCAAGTTCTCCTACAGAAAACTCACCCAACCATGTCTTGCTTTGTGCACTGCTGCACAGTCATGCTGGAACAGAAAAGGGCCTTCCCTAAACTGTTCCCACAAAGTTGGATGCATAGAATTGGGCAAAATATCTTGGTATGCTGAAGCACTAGGAGTTCCCTTCACACCAACGAAGAGGCCGAGCCCAATCACTGAAAAACAAACCCATACCATTATCCCTCCTCCACCAAACTTTACAGCTAGCAGATAACGTTCTCCTGGCATCCACCAAACCCAGACTCTTCCATCAGACTGCCAGACAGAGAAGTGTGATTCGTCACTCCACTGAACACATGTCCACTGCTCCAGAGTCCAGTGGCAGTGTGCTTACCCCACCATCCAACGCTTGCCATTGCGTTTGGTGATGTGAGGCTTGCATGCAGCTGCTCGGCCATGGATGCCCATTCCATGTCGCTCCTGTTTGTGTGCTGGGGTTAATGCCAGAGGAAGTTTGGAATTCTGCAGTTATTGAGTCTGCAGTGTTGCCGACTTCCACGCACTGTGCACCTCAGCGCCCGGCAGCACTGCTCTGTTACTTTACGTGCTCTGCAGCTTCATGGTGGAGTTTCTGTTGTTCCTGAATGCTTTCACTTTGCAATAATACCACTTATAGTTGACCATGGAATATCTAGCAGGAAAGAAATTTCCCTTTGGTGACTTATTGCAAAGGTGGCATCCTATGACAGCACCATGCTTGAATTCACTGAGCTCTTGAGGACGACCCAGTCACAAGTGTTTGTAAACCTGACTGCATGGCTTGGTGCTTGGTTTTGGTTTTATCCATCTTTATTCTTGTGTTGTGGTCACATCACAGTTACACTACATCTCTCCCTTCCTCTCTCCAGTAAAATGACTTTATCCATACTGCTGAAATTCTGAAAATCTAAAAATGGATTTATTTTGGTCTGCATTGGTGCAATTAAAGATTTCCCAGAGGAATCCGGACCAAAATACAAATAAAAGGATGAATGATTTTCAGTTTAATTTACTTAGCTGACGCCAGTATCCAAAGTGACTCTGGATGAAGCTGAGTGCTTCACTGGAGATACACTATATTGCCAAAAGTATTGGGACACCCCTCCAAATCACTGAATTCAGGTGTTCCAATCACTTCCATATACCACAGGTGTATAAAATCAAGCACCTAGGCATGCAGACTGCTTCTACAAACATTTGTGAAAGAATGGGGCACTCTCAGGAGCTCAGTGAATTCAAGCGTGGTGCCGTGATGGGATGTCACCTGTGCAATAAGTCCATTTGTGAAATTTCCTTGCTGCTAAATATTCCATAGTCAACTGTTAGTAAATAAAGTGGAAGCAATTGGGAACAACAGCAACTCATCCAGGAAGTGGCAGGCCACGTAAAATCAGAGAGCAGGGACAATGCATGCTGGGGCGTACAGTGTGCTGGGGATGCCCCCTTCCTGTCCCAACATGACTGCCCACCAGTGCACAAAGCAAGATCCATAAGGACATGGTTGAGCGAGTCTGATGTGGAGGAACTTGACTGGCCTGCACAGAGCCCTGACCTCAACACGATAGAACACATTTGGGATGAATTAGAGCAGATACTGCGAGTCAGGCCTTCTCATCCAACATCAATGCCTGACCTCACAAATGCTCTCCTGGAAAAATGGTCAAAAATTCCCATAAACACTCCTAAACCTTGTGGACAGCCTTCCCAGAAGCTGCTATACCTGTAGCTGCAGAAGGTGGGCCAACTCCATATTAAAGCCTGTCATGTCATGTGTGTGTAAAGGCAGGTGTCCCAATACTTTTGGCAATATAGTGTATTTACACAGCATACCTTAATCAAATATACTGCCACGTCCAAAATACCTTTTGGGGATCAATAAAATGTCCTGTCTCTCAGCAGAGGCCCTGAGTGGAACCAGGAATCATCAGGTCCATTATGTTACCTGCTGGATTTGATGAGGCTGATCCAGTGTGCAGTGGTAGCTCCTGAAGTCTGACTGTGCCGTTAATATGCTTTGGTCCTGCTGCTCCGGTGCTGATGTTTCTTCAGTGTTAAACTGTTATGGAATTTGAAATAATGCAGATGGTACGTAGCATTATTCCAGTAATAAGAAAGCTTTGTTTTTTCTCCTATTATTTAACAAAAAAAAAAAACAAAAACAATTTTACTAAGTTGAATTCAGGCAGTCCACATAAAGCAGGTATTATTAATCTCTCGAGCCTTCGGATACCAGTGCTGACATAATTGGTATTCTGTGGGATAGTCTGCCTTGTTCAGAGATAGAAGTTTTGAAGTCATAAGATAAAAATTTACCCCACTCATAATTAAATGTCATTACTTGAATATTGCTTGGACTGTTTGGTATTTGCATCTCAGAGCCACATGATCAAGCTGTCGCTACCCTTCCAGGCTGAAGCTGATTTATTTTCTGTGGTGCCTCCCATTGCACACATAGTGGTTTGTGGTATGTAAAGATAATTTGGTACTTTAGTCTGCCCCCTGCTGGTAACTGACAAAAAAGCAATGCAAAATAATAAAAGTTAAATGAAAGATTCTTTGGACCCGTTCGTACACACAGACACATGAAACAATACTTATAGTTTTACCAACTTTCACCCCAGTTTTGTCTTTTTAATAGCATCTCAGATTTAATTAATTTGGGCAACATTAGGTATTGTTTGTTTCTAAAATTCTGCATAACGTGACCATCAAATACAAAAGTCAAAGACCTGATATTTCATTTTTTTTAGTCTTTCATTTTTCGGATGCATCAAATTTAGATGTAGCTTGAGGGCTGGTGAGAATTTCCAAGCAAGAAAATGGTTCAATCTTAGACGCCTCAAACACCAATGCCCTACTCAGCATTTCATTAACATTTCATAACATCATTTCTCATGCTGTAATCCCAAAAGTCCCTTCACATTCACTGTGACTTTTTACCTGATATTGGCAAATTTCACAACATGCTTGACATCCTCAGATACTTTTATGAGGCTCTTCTAATATATTTTGTTCAACTGTGACCTTTGGTCTTGTTTTCTCTTTAGAATTGTTTTCGTATGAGTGCAACATAATCACTCATTTAATTATTCTGATCAATATGGGTCTGTAAAACTTCTGTTGTATTACCATTGTAAAAACAATTATTGTACATCTGTGCATCCCGAGTCAGTAGTTTTGTATTTTAATGTCACTTTTTGCATGAAAATATAACAGATTTACTATGTCCTGCATGCTCACCAAAATGCTAAAATTTTGCGCATTGGGTACCAAATGAATATATACATAACCACCAGGGGGCGGTAATGGCTAATTGAAATCAAATCACTAATATCACTAGCTAAATAAACGTTAAAAGGGGAAACGCATATAAAACAAAACGATACTTCCCATAATAAATATTTCCCTGTGTATATTAATTAAATGAGGCAACAAAAGGATTATGAAAATACTAGAAATTTAGTTTCTTGTTGGGGAAAAAAATAAACCAAACAACTTTGCAATGAAAACTGCATTACAAAATTCACACGTCGGAAAAGGAAGTATATTTAAATATGTATGTGATGTATGTGAGAAAGAGGACCCATTTTATATGGAGGCTTAGTCTGTAACCATATTTATCTCTTGAGAAACTTTAGATTCTGTTCTGCAATTTCTTAAATTAATATCATGCTGAAGTGTAACTTTAAATAAACATGATAAAGAAACAGGGACATTCAGCGTATGCTTATCGTCTTGTCATGCTATTTTGATCAGTAAAGATACGAATCATAAACTAGGCATTGTATGGTCTTGGTAATATTTCATAAATAAATGACTTGTTTTTATGACTCGTTAAGGAATAAGTTACAATTGTCTGAGTGACTGTAAGGAAGTTAGAATCTAGAATACATATTGGCACATTTGATCTGCAGCAAGATTCTTGATATTGTCCTATTCTCTGCTCAGTCTCAAACACTGCAACATTTTGTCCAATTAACAATCTCTTTGTAATATCTGCTAATATTGAGGAACATTTTGTGTGCCTGAGGTCAGAAGTGGTTACATGCGATACTTTGACGCTAACCAGCAACGCAGAGGACAACACCAGCATACTCCGTGTTGACGAGTGATGCTACATGAAAGTAGTGGAGGAGGTGTTCGTCTGACGGAGAAAATTCCACCATGCAAGGTCAATTTACCTTCAGCTTGTTGGGGTTAATCTCCTTCCTCATTAAGGCTGGGGACTTTCCCAATAAACAACCTCATCCTGCGGCCAGTTTGTGGGGAGAAAAGGCCATCGAAGAGGATCATTTCTGAACGGTGCAGTAACTCGGCTCATTATGCCAGTCATGAACTAAGGGAAAGGCACCAAGTTTGACTAATGCAAATATTATTGGCTCAGACCAAGATTTGCAAACATCATATGGCTAAGTACTATATAGTACCTTCCTTTGTCTTTTATGTCAAAATGAAACTCCATTCTGATGGCCAATACCAAAAACTGATACAAAGCAGTGTCATTAAAATAAAATTGCAAAGGTTTGTGCGTATGGTCATTTGGCCGTAGCGATTAAGCAGGTTTGTATTTTTCCATCTGGCTCCCATTGTGTGCGTGATGCTGCTTTTGCACATTCCGCTGGGTGACTAGCTGTCCTGCAGTCTGAAGACCCACAGTCCAGGTAAACTGTGAGCAAGCCCTGTGCTGGACTGGGCTGCTATTCCGGGTCTGTCCTGCGCTGCACCCCGCGTTTCCCAGGTTCCAGTTCTGCATCCCCGCGGCATGCGGGAAACAAGCAGCTATTGAACGTTGATGAAAGACGTGTAAACAAAAATTGAGCCTACATCACTGAAGATACTAAGAAGGTTAAACCAGGGAAGACGTCAAGAAAACGGAAACGGGAGAAAAACAGTGAAATTCACTGCACGCTGGCGTGCTGTGCTGTTATTACACAGATTCATCGCCACGGTGTTCCGTAGTGTCCTACTTGATAATTGCATGATCTATGAGCCTTATAGAGGACAGTAACACCTTATAGGTAACTGCTGTTGATGTTGTGCTGCATGTCAGGCTGCCTGCCGGCTCCCACACTAACCCTTGCTCATTTTTCCAGTTCTACCAAAACCAGCTTTCCAAGCTGTTCCTTGTTCCTCAGAGGTGTGAACTGCCCATTTACTTTCAAATGTGACTGTTGTCCAATTAGTGTCAAAGCCCCGCCCTCCACAGCGGTGATTGGGTGCTGCAATGCTATTGACAGGCGCTGCTAGCCAACAGGAGTTACTGTTGGGGACTGGCAGTTGGCTGCTGTGCCACTTGGCCTGTGAACGACGCTCCTCTGTCTGTGCTTAATTACTGAGATTTGCTTTAGTATCTACACCTCGCGGAGCGGGGGCAGCACAGATCTGAGACATTCTGTGCACTTCCTGTCTGGGGGCTGTTTGAGGATGGTTCCCCCTCTACTATACATGCACATGTTTACATCGACCCTGTATGCAGAGTTTCATTCACTCGGCCCTTGCAGGTTGTTTCGACTGCATCTCCTGTCATACTGAGCTATTCTCTTCCCCAGGAAGTGGTTTGCCGCTATAAAAACACAGAGATCTCGTGTGATCTGCACTTTTTTTTCTCTCTTTCTTTTCCCGCTTCTATTGTCAATGGAATTAAGGGTGAGACATGAAGTGAGAACAAGCTGGTGGGTGACCTGTGGGTGGCTAAGATCTCGGGTCTGGGGTTCTGGGCCACGAAGATCTGAAGGAATTCCCGCTCGGCGCAAGTGCACAGACTACAGTCTTCCCAAAGAAAAGATGGAAGTTTATTCCAAATTTTCATGACCAGTGACAGATGCCTTACGCCCAATGGCCCCTTTATTAGGTACATCTGTATGCTCATGCAAACAACCTGCCCCTAGTTATCAGGCGATTCACTTTCTGTTCATATAAGCATTAGAGCTGCAAAGATTTACTTGACTTTTGACACAGTGCAACTTTTATGTGGCGGTTCCAGCATCTCAGAAACTTTCCCTACCAGAGATAAATAGTCATATTATTATATGGTGTATAAAGTTGCAAGTAACTGATGGCCAAGTGCAAATCCAATGACTTCATCACTGTTTGTTTTTGAAACCTCCTCATTGTATCCCTTTCATTTGCAAAAATGTAAGACTCAGAGTCCCAGCATGCTCTAGACTAATAAACATGATTACGACCCGCATCTAATGAGATAATCGGTACGTGCCTGTTGAGAGATGGAGATGCGGGCAGCATCCGTTTGTTTACGCCTGTTTATCTGTGAATTACGTGGTTTTGCCTTGTGGCGAGTTTTTACACGTCGCTCCTCCTCTGTAGTGTTAAGTGATGCGTGTGTGCGGGTCAAATTCATTAGCTATGATCTAAAACTATCTACACTCACACTATCTATCTATGCATCTGTCTATCTTTGCATCAGTGCTAAAGTTCCAACCACAATATGCAAAAAAATAGGCACAAGGTGATACATAGAGCCATACAAAAGTGTATTATATTAATAAAAACAATTTATTTTTTTTATATATAACTAAACCAGGAGTCGTTCCCTGAGGTTGAGACAAATTGTATTCAGTGAATGAGTCAGAATTACATTGACAACACATTAGTAATGCAGAGTGTATGATGGCACAGCAGGAGAGCGAAGGCCTGCGGCAGATACAGGGCTTCCAAACGGGAGCCTTCCTGTGTGACGTACGTTTACGTTTCAAAAACTGAATTTCGCATGTTGCCGCGTTTTGATCCTGAGTCGTTTCATGCCCACCTGCAACCCCCCCCCCCCCCCTCCCCCCCCAGTCCCACCGATGCTGAGGGGCTTTGATCAGATCATCCTGCGTGTCGGATAAGTGATCATTTCAGGCTTAGCAGTACCTGGAAGTCTGAATTAAAGCTGAAAGTTAATCATCTGGTTCAGTATGGACTCTCTCTGTCAGTCCTGCTCTGTGTGGTCATGGATCCCTTGCTGGCTGGTGTGTGTAGATTCAGTCAGTCATGTACAGTATCTTGCGGGGTGGTGTTAAGGACTCTCCGTCTTTCGTCGCTCCTCCGGAGTCGGGCCTGCAGTGCTGGCCGCGTATTTTCAGCCTCAGCTTGTGAGGCAGTGCAGTACTCAGGTCAGCCTCCAGGGCGGCCGGGACCTGCTGCTCTGCCTCCTCATCGCTGGGCTTCTTGGGGCCCAGGATGGGCCTGGGAGCAGCTTGGCCAACCCAGTGGGCGGGCGGGTGGGCCGGAAGGAACAGAGGCGAGTGCGACGAGGCGAATGGAGGATAGCGGTCGATGCCGAAAGAGTAGCCGGTCGTCGCAGGAGTGTGAACGGAAGACAGAGGGGAGATGGGGTGAGCGGAGGGCAGGGAGGAGTGATCGCCATCCCGGGGCCACCGGCCCCAGAAGGGGTCCATGGGCCGGCTGGGGGGCAGGGGCAGCAGGCTATGCTGGGCGGAGGCGGGGCCGGGCAGGCCGAAGCGCAATCGCAGTGCCAGCAGCTCCGCCCGCAGCCGCATGTTCTCCTCGCTCAGGGCCACCAGCCGCGTCTCCAGCACGTAGTCGTTGACGCGCCGCTTCTCGCGCGAGCGCTTGGCCGCCTCGTTGTTCTTTCGCCGCTTCTCCCAGTAGGAGGCGTCCTTCTTCTCGTCCGGCATGAACTCCCGCTTGCGCCGTGAACCTGCCCCAAGGCCGCCACCAATCATCGGCTCCAAGCCTAGGACCGCCATGCCCCGCTCCATGGCGCCGCCCTGCACGGGCATCGTGAAAGGCACCTCCATGCCCTTGTGTGAATGAGGTGCCAAGCAACAGTTCCTGGATTAGTAATTGCGTAATTTTCAGTAGAAATCTGTTTTTTTTTAACGTCCTTCAGTTCTTCACACTTGGTGACTAGACTTAAGTAATTTCTTCTCAGACCTTAGTTAATGCTGTTTCAGTAAGCTGTACACATAACGGCCAGTAAGCAGTTAGTCACTGGCAAACGTCACTTGAAACAAAACTTACTGTGTGTGAAATCACAGTGCGCTGAATGTGCCCGTGCGGCCTCTCCTCTGTCCTGTGCGGTCCCCTGCACACTTACTGCTGGCCACGATCTACCATCCACCTTGAGGAGAAAGAACCAAAGACGTCTTTCAAAAAAAGCTACAAGTGCAACACAAGATTAGACAAAGAGATTAATTTGTTTTAGGTTAGTGTGCGTACTGTATAACATTTCTTTGCATAAATAAAAAAAAAAAATCGAAATAATTGAAGTGCTACTTCAACATTGAAGCGCTACTTCAAAGAATTCATTCCGAATACAAAGAAAATAATCAGGGGATCTAGGTGTTTCATACCAGATTATATCAACTGGGGGGTGGCAGGGGGTTTGGGTCGCGGCTGATGTGTTGGCGACCGCTTAGATACTCAGGTGTGATCTGCAGGTATTCTTCCGTTTTAACATTGACACATATATTCACACTGCTCAGATAAGCGTAAATGCTCCGTCACATCTTAAAAACCCAGACCAATGATGGGATCAGGTACAGCAGCTGTAATCCATGGCGATGGCAGTTTTTGCTGCGTGCATTATGATAAAGTTTGTTCAATGTAGGTGTGTAAGAAAAGTTGCGTGTTGTTGCATCTCTGCACGGATGTCTGTGTGTGGGTGTGATGTTGAGTATGAAATAGGAAGTACGTACGTGTAGGTGTCCAGCCTTTAGGTACAGCATTCTGTCATCTTGCCATATTTCTTTGATCATTTATGTAATATTCATACAAATTATAAAAGTGTTCCTGGAAATGAAAAGGCAGCCCCTGGGTGACATTTATCAACTTCAGCTCCACAGAAAAGAAGAAAAAAAAACTATTCATGAAAGATCGCAGTCAATTATATGACTGCTCCATGACTTGAATTGTGATCTTGTTGTTTGGTAAAGCATGAGAAAATGAGACAGAGAGGCGATACAGGAAGACTATCCACACACACTAACCCTGAACCACACATGGTCCCATTAGTGATGACAGGCTTGTTATACTGTAATTCCATCCATCCATTTTCCAAACCGCTTATCCTTCTGGGTCGCGGGGGGTCTGGAGCCCATCCCGGAAGCTACGGGCACGAGGCAGGGAACAACCCAGGATGGGGGGCCAGCCCATCGCAGGGCTTGTTATAATTTTTAATAATAATTATTAATGCACTTAGATCCCATTTTATGCAAATCAATATATTTCGTGGGAAGTTGATGGGTTTTTTTTTAAAGCGTGGTTTTACTGCAGCTGATTTACCCATCCAGTGGCAGATCTGGAGTAGATTATCCATGATTATCCTTTTTTATAAAACAGAAACAGCCAGCATATGTGTACCTGATCACTGAATAACCTTTCTTTCAAATAAAACAATAGTAGGTGGAAAGTGAACAATAGTGTCAGTTTCTAGAATTATTAGCACAACATTTTAACCAATGAATTTATGTGGTGATTACACTGGAAAACAAAACACCCGTCAGCCTAGAGAATAACAGACGAGTGAAACTTTCATGACCAACAGATGATAACTCAGAAGGCATCTACCCCCAGTAAAATCACCATTATCGTCTCTCTTTGCATAAACAGAGCTGAAATGAGCGATTTACTTGTTATGCTAACACAAAATGTCTCTTTCCTTTGGTTTTAGCTAGCCGCGCAGTTTCACGTCAGGCTCGCGCACGACAATCTCGGCGCTCTGACCTCGAGTAGCTGAAGCGACATGCGTTTCTGGGCCCAGTAAATTCCCCTGCCCTCATACTCTCGGCAAAACCGGACTCCTCCACGTCTAGACAGGTTGAGCAAGACGCAGATGTGTAGAGAGCAGCCGGGGTGAGGAACGCGGCAGACTGGTCGCCCAACCTCTTCTCAATATTACACAGCCCCTGTGCTTAACTTCGAAGAACAACATGTTTAGCCCAAATTGAGAACCAAAAAAAATCCCCACGGATCAACTCTCATTTATACATTCTTGAAACCATTTTAAAATTTTTATTTGGTTCTCATGCGATCTCTGAAGGTCAATGAAGATTTTTTTTCTTTTTTTTTTTAAATAAAACAGAGACTGGGGGTGGGAGGGATGGGGGGATGGGGGGGGGGCACCTTGACTGAAAACATAATGACTGACCGAACATGAGCCAGGATGACCACAGTAGGTGCTGGAAAGCGAGTTTCCCCCCCGGTGACATGAAAATGTGCCGGTCCTTTATTTCAGGTTCTCTTTGGATGGGTTTGAAACTGACGAAGACCAAAATGAACTTAAAATCTTCAGGAATTCCTCTTCGATGTGACCTCAGTTAACAAGAAGTTAAAACATCTCTCCTTTTTTTAAGCATTCATTTCCTCTAATATAGAAAGCGATAGAGTACCTATAAATGTATATAATTTTTTTAAAAAACTGCTGTTTTGCAGTTATTACAATGACAGAATGATAATTATATAGAGCTCTGGAAATATTAAAAGACCGCTCTATATATTTTTTTTTAAATCTGCATTTTTAAATCCTGATTTAACCGTGGTTCTGCTGGCAGAGGCTACGCTGAACAGCAGGCTGTTTCCAGGTTCAAAATTTCTAAGACAGCAGCACACAAGAATAAGGTGAAGCAGGAGACACAGACGCATAAACGCATAAACTGAGAAATTAGTGAAACAAAAAAATTGTGCTGCGGTCTCATTTTTTCCCAGAGCATTGAAAAAGAAAAGCTTCCACAGCAGTATGTAATTTGCTCCTCCTATTTATGTTGCCTAAGTAGCTTTTTGTTGTATTTGACCAAGTAAAATAGACAAATCTATGTGGACTGTGTTAGCGTGCTTCTCATAGGCCTTTCAGTGTGTAATAAACATAGCATGTGGACTGATATTTGTATGCGATTAGTTAACTAATCGCACACACACACTGAGTTGGCTCTTCAGGATCTGCAATATGACATTATTGACTTTCACATTTCATATTTCACATTACAACACAAGAGTTGTTGTTATTTTAGCAAGTTCCATAACTGGTGCCGATGAGAGTATCTAGAAAATCAGTATCATTTGACAATCAGGGATGTAATTCAGCAGAATAAAATCAAGGAATTAGATAGAAAGACAACCCATTAGTCATGTGACTTACAGAATGCATCTGGATATTAACAGGATTGGTATTGGGTCTTATTTCTGCTCCTCATGTGTGGATGCATGTTCTGTAGAACTTAAGCCGGCTTCTGTTATGAAGGTGCATCTGTTCCATCTATATCTGAACTTCTCATAGTGACTGTTCTGTTTAGCGCTGCCTCTTCTCTCTACCCTTCTTACATGCCTCTTCCTCACATGCTTTCCTGTTTCCTACCATGCAGGGGATGGAGTGATGGGGGAGTATATGCATGTCCGTCTGAGATGGAGAACCAGAAGAAGATCAAAGAGACCGAAAGCTGAGAATGGAGAGGCATTGTAGTGTTCAAAACCACAGTTGTTGAGGCTATCACACACACGCACACACACACACACACACACGCACACACACATGCACACGCGTACGCATGCACACACACGTCGTACATGTACACACACACACGCACATGTAGCACACACACACACGCATGCACATGCACACGCATGCACACACACACGCCATACATGTACACAAACACATGCACATACACACGCGCATACACGCGCATACACACACACACACTCACACACGCCTCTGAGCCACCTCTGTGTGGGCAAGTACAATACTGAGAAATAGTCTGTGGTCAGCCTGTTATTATTATCATAATTACACAAACTGAAACAATCAAACTGTGCAATTAAAAACAACTGCTGCACAACACGGAAACAGGTAGCAACACATTTATTACTTTCTGCAGCACCTGAATGGATAATTGCACTTCAGTTCTCATCCCAATGAACAGTAGCATGTTTTTGCAGCATGATTCTCCCGCTTTTTGGGCATGAGTCACCACCTCCTCTCCTGTACCTCACTGCTGATAAGGCACCATTTATTACATAACTTGTGCCCCTGAGTCAATACCAGTGGTGCACCTGTGTGGTTTTTTTTTTTAACCTGCCATTAAATGTGCCCTGCATGGCCACACCCATATTTGAAATAACTGTGAGCTCCTCCATACACACAGATGAGCCAAAACCTTATGATCACCCCAACGTGAAACAAAAAACGTTAACTATCTTGTAAAAACGGTGCATGCCAAAGTCTGGGATACATTACACGGTAAGCTAACATTCAGCATTCGTAGTTACAGTAGCATGGTTAATGCAGAAGAAATGGGCAGCGATAAAGATCTGAGTGACTCTGACAAGGGCCAATCCAGTATGGTCAGATGACTGGGTCAGAGTGTCTCCAAAACAACAAGGCCTGTGGGGAACTCCCGGTCACCCGTGGTGAGTACCTGCTGATAATGGTCCAAGGAGGGAAAAACCACAATCCACTGACAGGGTGCTGGGTGGCCATGACTCATGGATGTGAACAAAGGCTATCCTGTGTGGTACATACCAACTGAAGGGCTACTGTGGCACTAATTGCATATACTTTTCATGGTGGTCATGGGAGTAATGTGTGAAACCATCACTAGTCTTCATATTGAATAAAAATAATTTTGCAAAAAATATGCAACCAAAAAACATGCTATATATAATACGGTCACATTTTACTTGAGGGGACATGTATAATGTAGTAGTACATGCTTACTTAATGCATTAAGTAACCAGTAACTAAGTGGTAGTTATGTACTGGTCCCATGCTTATTCATCATTAATCCATCATGACAGGAACACTGTGCTAAGCCATTGAGCCTCCCTATAACCTGCTGAGCATGGCACGGTGCTGTCTCTATGTGCAGAGTGCATTCTACCTTTTGTTTCTCACACTCCTATTGTCTGATCAGCCACCCCCACACACCTGTAAACCAATCAGCTGGCTTCTCTCATACACCCACTCTCTGGGCATAAGGCAGGGAACAACCCAGGATGGGGCACCATTGCAGGGCACAGTCACACGCCATTCACTGACACAGGCACTCCTACAGGAAACTTGGTAACGCTAATTAACCTCAGCGTGTTTTTGAACCAGAGCACCCAGAGGAAACCCCACCATGACAC